TTTATCAACAGTAACCAATAGGTCTGAGAGGAAATCTGCAAATTCTTTTAGGAAATCTGTATACGGCCCTGGTGGTCTATACACAGTAGCCAGAGCAAGAGATACGATAGATTTCTTTTGCATATCTGACAGTGTAACATTAAGCATTAGTATTTCGAATGAGTTAATAAATGTAGTTGGTTTGGCACGGAATGACCCAGAATCAGTAAGACAGAGAGTAGAGTGAGCGTGTGTTTTCTTTCAGCCGCACGCAGCACGGCGTCCATCATGTCAGAGGTCATGATGTACGCGTCCATCATCGGCCTGCAGTTCTGGCTCCTGGTGGAGATGATCTACTGCTACAGGAAGATCGCCGCGGCCGGAGAGGAAGCGCTCAGAGCCAGCGCGTTAGTAACACACTGAACAAACGCTGATCAAACACTGAACAAGTGCTGATCAAATGCTGAACAAACGCTGATCAAACGCTGATCAAACACTGATCAAACACTGAACAAACGCTGATCAAACACTGAACAAACACTGAAAAAGCGCTGATGACACACTGAACAAGGGCTGATCAAGCGCTGATCACACACTGAACAAACGCTGTTCAAACACTGAACAAGCGCTGAACAAACGCTGATCAAACGCTGAACAAACGCTGATCACAGACTGAACAAACTCTATACAAACACTGAACAAGCGCTGAACAAACGCTGATCACACTGAACAAACGCTGATCACACACTGAACAAACGCTGTTCAAACACTGAACAAACGCTGAACAAACACTGATCAAACGCTGATCACACGCTGAACAAACGCTGATCACACGCTGAACAAACGCTGATCACACGCTGAACAAACGCTGTTCAAACACTGAACAAGCGCTGAACATACGCTGATCAAACTGAACAAATGCTGATCAAACACTGAACAAGCGCTGATCACACACTGAACAAATGCTGATCAAACACTGAACAAGCGCTGATCAAACGCTGATCACACACTGAACATACGCTGAACATACGCTGATCAAACACTGAACAAACGCTGATCAAACGCTGTTCAAACACTGAACAAGCGCTGAACAAACGCTGATCACACTGAACAAACGCTGATCACACACTGAACAAGAGCTGATCAAACGCTGTTCAAACACTGAACAAGCGCTGAACAAACGCTGATCACACACTGAACAAATGCTGATCACACACTGAACAAACGCTGAACAAGAGCTGATCAAACACTGAACAAACGCTGTTCAAACACTGAACAAGCGCTGAACAAACGCTGATCACACTGAACAAACGCTGATCACACACTGAACAAGAGCTGATCAAACGCTGTTCAAACACTGAACAAGCGCTGAACAAACGCTGATCAAACGCTGAACAAACGCTGATCACAGACTGAACAAACGCTGTTCAAACACTGAACAAACGCTGAACATACGCTGATCAAACGCTGAACAAACGCTGATCACAGACTGAACAAACGCTGTTCAAACACTGAACAAACGCTGAACATACGCTGATCAAACGCTGAACAAACGCTGATCACAGACTGAACAAACGCTGTTCAAACACTGAACAAACGCTGAACATACGCTGATCAAACGCTGAACAAACGCTGATCAAACGCTGATCACACACTGATCAAACGCTGAACAAGCGCTGATCAAAAGCTGATCACACACTGAACAAACGCTGATCACACACTGAACAAACGCTGTTCAAACTCTGAACTCAGCAAACACTGAACAAACATTGAGCAAACACACTGAACAAACACTGAGCAAACACACTGAACAAACACTGATCAAACACACTGAGCAAACACTGAACAAACATTGAGCAAACACTGATCACACACTGAACAAACGCTGAGCAAACATACTGAACAAACACTGATCAAACACACTGAACAAACACTGAACAAACTGAGCAAACACTGAGCAAACACACTGAACAAACACACTGATCAAACACTGAACAAACACTGAGCAAACACTGAACAAACACTGATCAAACATTGAGCAAACACACTGAACAAACACTGAGCAAACACATTGAACCAACACTGAGCAAACACACTGAACAAACACTGAGCAAACACACTAAGCAAACACTGAACAAACATTGAGAAAACACACTGAACAAACACTGATCAAACACCGAACAAACACTGATCAAACACTGAACAAACACGGAGCAAACACACTGAACAAACACTGAGCAAACACTGATCAAACACCGAACAAACATTGAGCAAACACCGAACAAACACTGATCAAACACCGAACAAACACTGATCAAACACGGAGCAAACACATTGAGCAAACACTGAGCAAACACACTGAACAAACACTGAGCAAACAC